TCAGGTTAAGAGGAGTGGGACTAGCTAGAAACAGGGAACACAAAGCGCTGTCCCTCCCCCACATGTTGCTGTCCGATAGTATTTAGCAATTTCCCCTTACAAATGATAAATCTGGCTAAATGGGAATATTTACAGGTAGCCTGGGCAGCCACAGTAACGAATGTCAGGTCGACAGCTTATTAGTCGATAAAGGAGCAGGTGGAGGTAGCGTTAGCAGATTACTAATAATGTGATGCAGCTTACAGCAGCCAGTTCTTTTATAGCTCTTAGAGAATAATAAAGGGCATCAATAACACATCGCTCCATTGCAGCTAAAATCTTGACTATTATTCTTACAAAAAAGCCAATTTACAGCAGCAAAATATGCATATATTATTAATAAATTATCAATATTATATATTTTTGTTGCAATGGTAGCAAATTATACAACACCTTTTTGTTTAAATGGCTGTGTTAATACCAGAATGCTGTAAATATCCTACCCGTACCAGCAGTGAAATGAAAATATCTTACCATGTCGATAACCATCTTGCGGAGGGACTGTCTCTCCTTCTTTTTGAGGTTCTGGAAGATGTCACAGTTGTCTTCCTGTAGCAGCTTGAAGCCCACAGCTAAATGATGGTTCTCCAGCACAGACTCGTCGTTGTACATCAGCGCCAGCTCAGAATCTGCATAACAAAACACACAAAGTTGTGTAAATATCCAGAATCAAATAATAATTAAAAAAAACTGATAGCAAAATTTGCACATTGTTTCAAACTTACTGGTATTGATTAGAAATTGGTTTGATACTCCAGGATGATCAACATCATGGATTGCAGCAGCAAAGATGGCCGCTAGGATCTCAAGATCTGTGAAGACCGCCTGGTGAAGACACAGGAAAACTAAGTTTAACTTTTCCTTATATTAGCTCAATCTGCTAGAGGTAAAAGCCCACATCTAACTATAGGTTTGTCAGACATTGCCACATCTTTGATGTGTTCCCTATACAAAAACATGAACAGAAACATAACAAAGTCTAGGAAGCGAATCAGAAACCAAGACACACTGCTTTAAAGAACTTTGAAAGCTGCATTCAAAACTGAATTAAGGTCTACTTTAAGGAAGACTTACATCCAGGGCGGGTGTGGAGAGAAGGATGTGCGTTGACTGGGCTACGTCAGCAGCATGTAGACTGTTATGGTAAGCCACATCAGCATGGTAATGATCCTCCAGTGTCATCATGTATGCCACGAAAGTATCAGCCGGAATCTTGAAAGTCTTTAACAAATCACGCTCCTGGAGAAACAACCAATCAGGGATAAATTAAGTTAGATAAAGATGACTTAAACAGCCATTAGCTTCTCTTTTGATGTGCTTTTTCCTGTATATAAAGTAGATAAAGTAAGGCATCTCTTACCTGGAATATAGCATACATTATGCAGGTCAGAGGTCGGTGGTTGGAGTACTCGGACACGGTGAAAATGTTTAGACCCCATTTGTTCAGGTCCTCCAGCTCCTTCGACAGCTGCTCCTCTTTATCCGTCTTGACGCCGAAGCGCGATATGCTGCTGTTGGACAGCGACGATCCATGGGAAACCTTCTTGACTCCGCTGATCTGTGTCATCAGCTGCTGTTTCTGCTGCTTCTTTTTTTCTCGCATCTTGGATGTCGGCGACGGGATCTCCACCTCATTCTGCTTGTCTGTGTGAGGAAACAAAGAATAATGTAGATTTGTGTTATTTTCAGACTTGATATGTTGTGTGACATTGCAGCTGGTGTACATAGAGCTGCTCAGGAAAAATATAGATCCAGGTGTGCAGGAGACACCTGCAGCAACCTAGTCGGCTTGTTCATTCATCTTTCCTGTTCCCTTTGGTCCACCTACAGTTTGTCTCACTCCACCCAGAGTTCAGCGCAGCTAAAGTAGAATCTAAGCATGCTGCTGTAGCTGCCCTGCTCTTTTTTTGTTGATCAGTTTATTCAGCTGCATTTTGGGTAAAAATAACACCTAAAAGCATCAAATGGTGGATTTTTATTCGTTTTAAGGAATCACAACCTGGTTTTTCACTTCAATACTCCGGAAATTGTCTTTAAATTAATTTTAAATTATTTCAAGAAGAAAAAAATAAATACTCTATAATAATAGTCTCTTTTCTTGCAAAGGAGAATTGAAAATTGTGTGTATGAACGTTTATTTGGTTGTAGTCTTATCAACAACAGCAGTTAGCCCTGGTTCCTTTAACATCGATTCATGGTCTCTTATGTCATACTTACGTTGCACAGGGAGCAACTCTTACTGACTGCCTGCAAACCAGTCTCTGACTGGTGGAATAGAGATGGGCATGGTGATAGCAAGGCAGGCTAATGTTAGCAACCCAGATTGATGTCAATACAGGAGGAGGACCAAATCCCCATGTGTGAAGAGAGATTTTCTAATTTGAGTTTATATTTAAATTAAAAAAAAGTAAGCCAGTTTCTCACTTTGGATTTTCTGGCAGGTTTTAATTGCAACTCAACACCAACCCACATGTTTTAACATGAACAAGTCAGACGACTCCTTTAAATGCTTTCTAACACCAGATTCTAAACACTGGGAATAAACATGGCAGTCCGATTGATGGAAGCGCTGCTATGACTCGCCCTTATCTGTCAAACCTCGGCTCGGCTCATCGCTGGCCTTCCCCTGTGGAGGGTTATTCAATTACCAGCTGTAATTTAAATAAGCACTCTCTGCTTCATCAACTGCTGTCACTGTCTGTGTCTTTCCACTTTTTTCTTCATTGGTAATTTTGAATTAAATGCTCTCTGATGTGCTGTGTTGGAAAATGAGGAATAGAGAGTTACTCTGATTTATTGCAATTCCCAATCATCACTTATGCTGCCTCGCCATATGCATTACTTGTAAAGCAATTTATGGAATAAAGTATGTTCTCCAAACAATTATCTAAATTTTATCACTCGTTCAAACTGGTGCATCAAAGTACATGTAGTTAATAGATGTGTTTAAAGAGTAAAACTGATGTTGGTTTATTAGTTTTGTTGAAATGACCAATTTATTTAAAATTAATTCTATCAAAACTAAATCATCCTCTATCTTCCCTTTGGGTGAAGGAATTGTTTTTCTGGTTTCCTCATCAAGGCGTGTTCTGTTGGCGGCCAATCAAAGGGAATTAGTCCAGAGTGTGGAGCAGGATTAGGAGCAGCAGTTAAATAGTCTCCATTTTGGCGCCAGCAGTTTTTCATTTAAGGCTGGAAATGAATTCATTAAATTCTAAGATGTTTATTGATCCAAATTTTTTATATATACATATATACATATATAATTTTTTTAAAGCACACCATATTGGGGAAAAAAAACTGAAAAAAATTTGCTTTGAATCTTTAAAGGACTTAGGCTAAGCAGATCAAACTGGATAAAAATATCATTTTCCTGTTTCTGAATTGATGCTTTTCAAAAGATAACAAAAAATAAACATCAGTGAACTGCTGATAATGTTGATGGATGGAGGGATTAAAAGGTCCTACTGGTCAGCTGAGGACACATCAGGCCAGCTGTGCCGCTTAATGTAAGCCTAACCCTGCTGTTTTTTTCTCCCCTCAGCGTAGAAGACTTTCCTTTTGATCCACATGGTCACCATGTTGGTTCTAGGCAGTGAGAAGCGGTGGGAGAGGTACAGGGACAACAAGGTGTCCCCACTGACAAAGATGCATCAGGAATCTGAATGAGTCACCCAATCTGCTGAGCTTATCTCTCTGCCAGCGAAGGGGGTTCCTCTGTAGATTTCTGTCTGCTCTCAGCTCCCTCCCTCACCTGTTTGTCTAGAATCCTCTATTTTCCTCACGTTACAGCAGATTTTAATGATGTTTTTGTCTTGAACCTAATATCTCACTCTAGCTTTTGGATTTCTGACATTAAACAAAAATAAGGATTAACATTGTCCTGCATTGTTTAATTAAATTCCACTTTCAAAAGCCCAAAACACTTTGTTTTGTATATATATATTTTTTTTTCCGACTATCTTGAGGGATATACAATGTTCATTTCATTTTGAAAGCCATTTTAATGGGTTCTCCAAACATTGGAGGGAAGCTTGATGGCGCAGTGTTTTTTACTGGTACGCCCCCACAGTGAAGCCAGTTAGAACAACTAGCGCATCTCAACATGTAGGAAACAAAATGAAGTCTGCACAAAATAAAAGCTTCAATCTTGCTTTATAGTGAACCACAGTTTACTTGTAGGTCTTTTATATTCAAACACACCAGAATTAGTGTATTATGTATTTACTAAAAACTATTAGTGTGACTTTTGAATACACATGATTTTTTTATTTTTTATTTTATGTCTTTACCTAGGAAGGTGTTGGAGATGAATTCGGAAACCTGATTCCCGGACCGACTCATCTCGGATAGGTGCGTCAGCTCCCGATTCAACATTCTCTTAAACTGCAGGAGAGAAGGGGGAGAGGAGGAGGGAGGTAGAGAGAGAGGAATATGTCGTCATTTTTCCAAATGGGGGGAAACCTGGCAAAAAAAACTGCATTACAAGATATCTTAACAATTTAATAACCCCAAGTCTAATTTAATCAGGTCAAGAATGTCTTTCAGTTACAACCAGCAATCTGTGGAGGAAACGGTGCATTTCCCTCCATTTCCCCAGGAATTAATCATGATGCAACCATTATTTAAGCGACCAGCGGGGGGCCCTGACAGCTTTTAATACTGCTTTAAATTCTCCATGGGGAACCAATTCCAAGTTTTATTAAACACATTCACATTTTCTGGAGCCTCTCTGGCCAGTGGACTGCGTCAGTGTGCAGGAATTTTAACACATGCAAGAGGAAAATGTGCGCATTTCTTCCTGATATTCTCTCCTAGATGCTGAGAACCATTCCAGACGGGGACAATGTTTGCGTGAATAAATGTAGCTGATGCTAAATGGACACCCAGGCACTGCAGCAGCAGATGTTTGTGACAGGCTGATGCATGCGTGTGCACACAACTACAGACACAGATCTGCAGAGGGCTCAAGATGGAGCCTGAGCCTCAAAACACCCCATCTCGCCTAAAGACGAGGATATTTTCAGATCAAACACTTCAAATTAAACTCCATAAATGCTCCTGATCAGATCAATCTTTAGAAGAAAGATTAAATATGACAACCAGGCAGCAAAAAGAGCTACAATAAACTGAGAGCGGTATCCCAGCGAGATACGTAGTTAAACGCCACACACCTTGATGTAACCCCAAGACACCGACAGCAGGTAGTTGGCTTCAGGCATTTTGGACCGCGTTGTTTCGTTCCTACACAAAGCCAGAACTGTAATCCAATGGGGGGGAAAAAAAAGTACTGAAGACTAATTGGATTTTTTCGTCACCAAAAAAACCTTAAAATTCCCCTCTCTGTTCCTTTTGTGCTTCCTCTTTATGATGGCTTATTCTCCCTCTGAGCAGAACAGGACCAGCTCCGAGCCTCCATGTTTGCAGATGGATGAAACTTCTTTATCTTCAGACGGATATCTCGAAAATCAGCAAGAAAATCCAGCCGTATTGACAGCAGCGGGAGCTGGAGCCGTGAGTTGGGGACTCTCGGCGCACCGATGAATAATGGAGAGGAAGGGAGGAAGGGAGGAGGGAAAAAACAGAGAGATGGAGACGAGAGGAGGAGGGAGAGAGGCTCTGATGTTCATCTGACTGGAGGGGGGGTTCCTCCGCTGGATTTGTCTCGCCTCGCTGCTCTCGCTGTACCTTCCTCTCCCCCTCCTTACCCTGCTTCTCTATCTTTCTCTCCATGTTTTACCCCTATTCCATTTTTTTTCCTCCTCCCGCTCTATCCTGCCAGCCATAGCAACACTCTTTTCAGAGCAGATGATTTGACAGAAATAGGGGGAAGAGGGGGAGCCCTAATTACAGCTCAGATGAAGTTTTCAAAGAGGCTATCATTTGGATACAAGTTCATAAAATAATTAACATCCTTTTTGGTTTTCAGTCCCTTTAATCCTCCTCATTTAAGTCACTTATATCAAGTGACCTAGTGAATGGGATCATAACAAAGAGGCAAAATAAACCATCCTCCTCTAGGATGAAATAAAGAGCCACTTTTCCAGGAATGTGAGCCTACATGAACTGTATCTTAATCGCCATTATCTCCCCTCTTCTTGAGTACTCTGCTGTCCCTTGACAACCAAGGGAAGCAGCCATTGTACGCACCTCATAAGCCTGTTCATTATCTGCATCCCATAATAATATTGGATGCCAACAGGGTGTCTGGGGGGGGGGCTATTTTTAACAAGCAGAGTGGGAAAGCTGGTTGGAGAAGGTGAGAAAAAAAAGGAACGAGAAAAAGAGGAGATGGCAGATAATTGCATTAGTTTAGGGGACAGCAGCCCACGGCTTCGTGTTTGGCTGTGAGAGGAGTGTGTGCGCCAATTATCACAGCAACCCGCCGGCATAGATACAGCTTTAAGGAGCAAGTTCAGGTTGTTTTTTTTTGGTTTATTTAAGGGAGAAGAGAGGAGAGATGCAGAAGAGGCTTTCCCTTTTTCTTCTGACCTGTGGAGAAGCTGCTGAGCTGTCACGAGGACACACCACACGCATTGCATCCACTGATGCATCCGGTATTGCCCAGATCCCTCCCTCTGCCTCGATCCATCCCTGACTCTTTACCACTTTTGTGTCAATTTCTTTCCGAGCGATCAATCTCCCTGCCCGCCTTGCTGACAGAATCAATGTGCTGTCCACGGTGCAGGTGCTGCAATGAGCAAGGCTGGGGCCACCCGGCCGGAATCCGCTGTGAGATCAGTACCAGCGCTCAATTTCAAGGTGTGAATTTGCTCTTTGTCTATTTTTGTCAGAGGTATTGTGGGTGGGTTGGTGAAAAGGAAATATGGCTACTGTCACTTCAGAACAATTCCATTTAAAACTTTAAACAGGGATTCCACAGGAGCCTTTAGGTCCAATACTGTTTGCTCAAATGGAGCGAATAGGAGTGGGAGATCAAAGCTTTCCAGAGAGGATTCCAGATTATCCTCCCACTGAAGGAAAGAACCAGAAGTGAGGAGGTTGGTGCAACAAAAAGAAGAGGAAGAAGAAAAAAAAAAAAAAAATGGAGGCAGCCCTTTATATAATAGCTTTCTGCATAATGTATCAGTAAACCAGAAATAACAGCAGGGGGTGTCTCTCTGCAATGTGTCAGAGAACCGTGCTTTGCTGGAGGCTGCAAAAAACCCTTAGTATGCACTGATGCACAAAACCATCCTCAGTCACTGCTGATATAGAGCTTAACACAGATAATGCTAACAATTAACATCCAGGTTTTAAAGAGGAGGCCTTACAGAATCAAATGAGAAAGTTAAGTGGAAGCAAAAAGTGTGGTGCAATAAATACAGACTACCTTGAGGGTATTATAAAGGGAAGCACATTTAAGCATCTTGGACGGATTCCATCACACAGATGTATCCATGGTATGAGCTTATATTAGGAAATTGCTAAGCAACCTTGCTAAACGAACCTGAACCTGTATAATCACAATTATTTACTAAACTTATTACAAGCATGTTTCTTTAAGGGGGGAAAGTGTTTATTTCCAGTTTAAACTAAAGGAAGATGGATCTCTGAGCTCTTTGTGCTGCTTTCCTAGTTCCTGATGCATCCTGTTATGATTCCTTTGATTCCTCATGTCCTTTAATCCCACTTCCCCTGTTTTTTTCTCCCTGCCTAGAGTGGATGGGTTGAATCAGCAGAGAGCTGCTGTGACAGAGAGAGAGAGAAGGTGAATGGAGCCTGTGGCATTTTAGTTTGACTAGGGCGGGTGGGGGCACATAACGCTGAGCTCCTACATTTAGATGTGATTTCATCAGACAGCTCGCTGTGCAGGGCAGCCAGGCGGACAGGTAGGCCCGCACGGAATCCCCCGGCACCAGGCCCAGAGAATCCTCTCACTGCCTCCACTATAATAAGATATTAGGCATGGGAAGCTATGAGATGTGATGGTGAACCTCTGGGCATGCTGCCATTTTCTCTGTCATCTAAGGACTAATAACTGCATGAATGATATCAAAGGATATTTTAGCTCATTTAAAACAAATCCATAAGCAAAACCATATTTTTTTTGTTTGTTAGTTAACTTTTCTATTCTCTTATTTATATCTAAATTGTGCTCAGCACTCATTTCTGAATCATTCGCTTAATTCTGACATTTCTATTTCAAATAATACTAAAATACAAACAAATCAGGGCTAAGTTCTGTATTAAAGACTCCGTTCTAATAAAAAACAACATTTTCCTGAGGCTGAAGTTGTGTCCAGAGCCACTAGTGGGTGCCCACACTGCACTCCGGCTGCAGAGGAACCTTACAGACAACTTTTACAATAAACCTTACATCAGATCAGAAAAGGAAAACAGTTTAGCGTAACTTTACTTGACCTAAATCAAATGTTTCCCTTACATTTCATTTACATTCCCAATTGTTTCCATTTTGAACACTGACACTTGCTTGTTTACAAGTTTTATTTCCCCTCTTCTTAGATAAATGACGCACGCTGGTAATACTGGCACCACAGCCACGACTCAAAGTGACATAATTCTGTAAAGATCAGGGGAAGAGTCTTACGTACGCATTGCGTGTAAAATCAGTAAAGGTGCAAACATCTCAAAGAAATACTACCTCTCACTTCCTCTGACTCACACCCTCATGTTATTGTGCCTTAAAGACTGCGTGTATTCATACATTCATTTCCTACCCCACATTATGTAGGAGCTTTAAAAAAAAAATCCCTTTATAAGAAAAGAAGACAAAAACAATGCAGTTACAGCTTTAAGTATCCAACTGGATGCAAAATCTACTCAAGCTGAGATATCTCACATAGAAAACATCAAACTGATGACTTTTCCTAAAATTATTACAGAACAAAAACAAATCTTTGAGTAAGTAATGAGCACAGCAGAAAAATTCTCCAGCCGACTCTTTCCTCTAACCCGACATGACCTCAAGAGCAGTTTCAGCTCCCACTGCCTCACTGTTAGGGTCACCTAATCTGTGGATATTAAATATCAGAATATGCATCACTTTTAATCTCCTTGAGCTTATCCAATACTTTTGTGCATTTTTTTCTGTTTGCTTAGAAAAAAAGAAACACTTCAAACAACAGAAACAAACACAATGCCTATTTTCTACTTCATATGTCATTTTTTTCAACAAATTCTTAGTTCAATATTGTCATATTTAGGCTATTTTGGACACAACAAAAAGATGAAATCCACCTCAGCTGTGTTTTTTTTCAATAGTTGGCTTGTAAATTTTTTTTTAAAAGCACTTTAAAGCACAGAGGAATTCCTGAATGCTGAGCATTGAAAAACAATATCTTTAAGTTTGAGAACAATGTTTTAAATTTGATGGATAATATTTTGCAGGGTAATTGTAAAACGGTTGAAACCAAAAGTTTACT